ATTGTATAATGTTCTTCAGTTTAAAATGTATGTGATCCATTGGTTAAAAATAAATGGGTCAGTTTTTCTCATACCTACTCTTTTTTCACTGTTTGATCTGATCAAGATTTTTCTAAGATTTTACACTACAAAATAGGTAAAAGTGTGTGACTTGTACTGTTTTGGTAACGGGTCAATATCGGTATCAGACAATTCTCAAAGTTGCAATATTGGTGTTGTATTGGAAGTGAAAAAGTTGTATCGGGACATCCCTAGTTTTTAGGGTTTATTGTACTTTCTTGTGCCGTGCCTTTTTTGATTTCCTTCTTTACTCTGATACCCAGAGCGACCAGTTGCATTCAGACGTCACCTGAAAAGTAATTAAAACTCATCAGAGTGTAATTTCACCTCCAGTTGTTTTGTAAAGTCCTCAAATGTTTGTTACAGAACATTAGTGATTAATCCATCATAAAGATCAAAACACACAGACAGAACAGGGAGGATGTTGCTGAGCATTTTAAAGCAGGGTTAGAATATAAAATGATATACCAAGCTTTAAACATCTCACAGAGCTCTATTTAATCCATCCTCTGAAAATGGAAAGAGTATAACACGACTGTAAACCTACCAAGAGTCGACTGCCTCCTCTGTGAAAACAACATTATGTTTTTACCACAAAATAACGATGAGCACTTTCTCGAGGTAATGAGGTAATTTCCCTACAGTTTCAGTGACCAGCTGAGGGGACCAGGCCGTCTGCATGGTTACCGAATGATACACAAGCTGAAAAACTGGTTATTTCGAGAAAACGCTCATCGTTATATCATAATAACGACATGACATGCCATTATCATGAGAAAACCATAGAACAAAATGATATGCTGAAAATGGCTGCTCTTAGCTTCCAAACTTTCACTTTAAAATTTTAAAATACTTGAAATATAACAAAGTGTGGAAAAGTTCTAAGGGTGTGATGACTCACATCAGTAAAAATGCATGAATTTCAATAAGCTTAGGTGCATTTTATATATGTAATTTTTTGTGATCGTGTCACATTTTACAAACATGGCAGAGAACATATGTGTTGTTATTTTTCTAGTGAGGGGGAGGGATTTTAGTGGCCAGAAAAGGAAATGGGTCAGTGGCTGGTCTGAAAAATACAGCAAACACAACAGGATAGAAAGGGTCAGGGCCTGTACACATGTCATAAAGCTGCGAGGTTGAGGTCACTGAAACACAAACAGAGCCAAAGCCTTGAAAGCACATGTCCCAAACCTCTTAACGCTCGGGGAGCTGTAGCTTTTAGCTGCAGGGCTTGGTGGAATAAGCCTGCACTACGTGGAATAAAACCAAAAGAGAAATTTTGTTGAATGCCCAGAAGTTAGAGGAGATGAGGAGATTAGACAGCAGGCTGCAGTACTCTACAAAATGAAGTTAGACAGAGTGTCCAGTAGGTTGTACATTTTTAGATTAGAAAAACACTGGGGCACATTGGATGCTTCAAAATAAATTCGTAACACTGAAATCACATTTTTATACCACTCTGTTTATTGAATTTTAATTTCAGCAATGAAGAAACTCCACCTATACCCCATACTCACCCTAACAAACAAGTGGAAAATAATAGTAAAAAAAAAAACTAAAATAGATATTTGTTAAAATTAAAAGGTCTATAAATACACATTACATCATAGACATAATTTGTGTGTGTGTGTGTGTGTG